GCTGATGAAAACTGTCACCCTTCTCGTTCTTTCTTGAAAGCAGTACTGAAATCAGTGTGGACCACTCCATCCTCTTAGACTGTCTCTGCAGACTTCTGCAGCTGTGTCTGACTACCTTCTGTGATGCTTCCACTTGCCTATCTCCCATCCGTGCCCCATGGGTGCAAATGGCTTTTGGACATCTAACTGCCTGTTTTCAGGGTACAGTCAAATTCTGATCTAAATGCTGTCATTTATTCCTGCAGTAAATTTATGGCCAAAATTAATTGCCCATGGAAAGCTGCCCCATAAAATTGGAAGTTATTTCTTCTAATTTGGTGCTTTATCTTGTAACCTTAATTGTCACTCTACGCTTGTGATCAGCTGGATTATTTTTTTAATACAATCATTGACATCTCTTCATAGGAGTCTTTATGTAAGCTCTACCTACTCCCCCAGCACCACCTAACCTCCCAGCCATGCCATCAGTAAACATCAACCACCCAGGCCATCTAGCACCCACACTGGGTGGGAAAATAGCCAACAGCTCCCCCTGAGGAGAATCTAACCCCTCCAGGAGTCTCCTAAACACTCTCCCCCCGGCATCATCCTACACCTTATCAGTTCCCACCATCACAACAGCCGTAGTTTCTTGCTTTAACCTCAACAGATTGTGGGATGTGGCCACAAAAGATTGTGGGATTGGGGTCAGGACAAGAACATGTGATGAGTTTGAGAGTCCTGGATGGAGAATTTTTTTTTTTTAAATCTTTGCTTCATACAGTGCCCTGAAATAAGGACTTGGTTTTTGTGGTCTTTGTTTTTAACACATGTATTCAGTCGTCAGTTGTTAAACCTAGAGTTGGGTGGATAACTGAATGTGATTAGGTAAGCACATTTTGTTGTCTGTATGCAGTTATTATTGTCAAATAAATATGTAGTTATTGTGTGTAGCTAGAGCAAGTGCAAACATACTGTTTTTCAAGCTTCAGTGCGAATAAGATTTACAAAAACTGGATACCTTTGAAACATATTCCATTGAAACAGTGCCAAATGAAAATATTTGACTTATGTTTATAAGAGTTGTGTAACAAGGCCAGAGTCCAGAAATCAGGGAAATCCAAACAGTTAATTGTTGCTGCAGTACTTATGTAATTTATTAATTCACTTGGTATTCATTCTTCTGAACAAGCTCTTGATTTAAAGAATTTAAACTATAAGGTCACTAACAAATGAGCACTGATTTATTTTTGAGGTACTATTTCATTAGCTGCCTGTAGAGTCACTGCAATCCCACTAGAACAAAACATATTCAGTCCAACAGACTAATCCACCAGTGTAGACAAATGATTGCCCTCCCTTCCCCTCCAAAAAATCAATTTCTCCATGACTTCAACTAAATCACACACAATCAGTCTGCATTTTAACCCATGCTGACTTTAGAAGATTTCTTATGAGTTGCAGATAACTTTGTTAAAAAGTCATGCCTCTGTCTTAGCACTTCCCCTTTAAGCTCAGGTGAACAGATAGTACTTGATCTATAGAGTGATTTTGTGTCCATTTGATGTTGTGACTGATGTTGAAAACCTGCAGAGTTTTTTTCCATATGAGGTCTGGATTGAACTAACATAAAGTTCCATAGAACTCTAGCTAGAAATCTTCAAATGATCAAGTTTGGGTATAAGTTCACAGTGCCATCAAAGGGGGCCACCTGGCGTACTTTCTTGTTTCAAATAGGGACAACCCTTCTTTCATTATATCTACTTCCAGCTGAACTTGGCATGTGCAGAGATGTTTGAGAAGATTTACAAATGGCATATGTTAACTGAATTCTGTCAAATGTTTGTATGCATTTAGCATTTTGAACAAAAGTTCATGATAATGATAACAAAGTGAAAGAGGCAGCGAGAAACGAAAAGACATCCTTTAAAAAGTGGAAGTTAAATCCTAATGAGGAAAATAGAAAGGAGCATAAACTCTGGCAAATGAAGTGTAAAGATATAAAATATAATAAGGCCCAAAAAGAATTTGCAGAACAGCTAGCCAAAGACTCAAAACATAATAACAAATATTTTTTAAGTACATCAGAAGCAGGAAGCCTGCTAAACAACCAGTGGGGCCACTGGACAATCGAGATGCTAAAGGAGCACTCAAGGTCGATAAGGCCATTGCATAGAAACTAAATGAATTCTTTGCATTGGTCTTCATAGCTGAGGATGAGAGGGAGATTCCCAAAGCTGAGCCATTCTTTTTACGTGACAAATCTAAGGAACTGTCCCAAATTGAGGTGTCATTAGAGGAGGTTTTGGAACAAATTGATAAACTAAACAGTAATAAGTTACCAGGACCAGATGGTATTCACCCGAGTGTTCTGAAGGAACTCAAATGTGAAATTGCAGAACTACTAACTGTAGTTTGTAACTTATAATTTAAATGACTGGAGGATAGCTAATGTGATGCCAATTTTTTAAAAGGGCTCCAGAGGTGATCCCGGCAATTACAGGCCAGTAAGCCTGATCTCAGTACCAGTCAAACTGGTTGAAACTGTAGTACAAAATTGTCAGACACGTAGATGAACATAATTTGTTGGGGTAGAGTCAACATGGTTTTTGTAAAGGGAAATCGTATCTCACCAATCTACGAGAATTCTTTGAGAGGGTCAACAAGCATGTGGACCAGGGGGATCCAGTGGATATAGTGTACTTAGCTTTTCAGAAAGCCTTAACAATGTCCCTCATCAAAGGTTCTTAAGCAAAGTAAGCTGTCATGGGATAAGAGGGAAGGTCCTTTCATGGATTGGTAACTGGTTAAAAAATAGGAAACAAAGGGTAGGAATAAATGGTCAGTTTTCAGAATGGAGAGAAGTAAATAGTGGTGTCCCCCAGGGGTCGGTACTGGGACGAGTCCTATTCAATATATTCATAAATGATCTGGAAAAAGGGGTAAAAAGTGGGGTGGCAAAATTTGCAGCTGATACAAAACTACTCAAGATTGTGCATTCTGCTTGGGATTTTACTGAGCTACAAAGGGATCTCACGAAACTGAGTGACTGGGCAACAAAATGGCAGATGCAATACAATGTTGATAAATGCAAAGTAATGCACATTGGAAAACATAATCCCAACTATACATATAAAATGATGGGGTCTAAATTAGCCTTTACCACCCAAGAAAGAGATCTTGGAGTCATTGTGCATAGTTCTCTGAAAACATCCACTCAATGTGCAGCGGGGCAGTGAAAAAAGTGAACAGAATCATTAAGGAAGGGAAAGATAATAAGACAGAAAATATCATATTGCCTCTATATAAATCCATGGTATGTCCACATCCTGAACACTGCATGCAGATGTGGTTGCTCCATCTCAAAAAAGATATATTGGAATTAGAAAAGGTTCAGAAAAGTGCAATAAAAATGATTAGGGGTATGGAACAGCTTCCACAGGAGGAGAGATTAATAAGACTGGGACTTTTCAGCTTGGAAAAGAGATGACTAAGGTGGGATATGATAGAGGTCTATAAAATCATGACTGGTGTGGAGAAAGTAAATAAGGAAGTGTTATTTACTCTTCATAACACAAGAACTAGGGGTCACCAAATGAAATTAATAGGCAGCAGGTTTAAAACAAACAAAAGGAAGTGTTTTTTCACACAACGCACAACCAATCTGTGGAACTCCTTGCCGGAGGATGTTGTGAAGGCCAAGACTATAACAGAGTTCAAAAAAGAACTAGATGAATTCATGGAGGATAGGTCCATCAATGGCTAATAACCAAAATGGGAAGGGATGGTGTCCCTAGGCTCTGTTTACCAGAAGCTGGGAATGGGCGGCAGAGGAATGGATCACTTCCATTGCCTTATGTTGCATAAAATATATCATATGAAGAGTATGGGGTGCAGTGTCACAAGGTCCATCAATGGCTCTTAGCCAGGATGGGCAGGGATGGTGTCCCTAGCCTCTGTTTGCCAGAAGCTGGGAGTGGGCGACAGGGAATGGATCACTTGATGATTACCTGTTCTGTTCATTCCCTCTGGAGCATCTGGCATTGGCCACTGCCAGAAACCAGGATACTCAGCTAGATGGACCTTTGATCTGGCCCACTATGACCATTCTTATGTTCTTATAAAAAAACATCTTTCTGTTCAATTTGCTTGAATGCTGTATCCCCTTTCCCTTACCTGTCATCTGTCTTTTCTGTTGAGATTATAAACTCTTTAGTTCTGTGTTTGTATAACACCTAGCACAATGGGGCCCTATTGTCAGTTGGTCCTGTGTCATTGCCATGATACAAATAATAAATAAATATGACTGTTATTTCATTAGAATTAGTTCAGCTATCTCTGGGATTTAAGCATGTATGCTGACAGGCAAATATAGCTCTTGATGTTCACTGCATACCATGCAAAAGTCACCTTCTTTCAAACACAAGATACCCTGGAATAAGACGATGAATTGATCTGTTTTCTAACAGTGTAGAGAGGGGCCCAGTTATAGATTACTGTACCAAGTCAAGGGTGATGTGTTCTGAGTGGCCAGTCAGTGTTGTTGTTTTTTTACACAATGTTTCTTTTGCATTTCAACATAAATGTGTCCCTTCTGAACAAAGTAAAACATCACTGAGCAAATCACAACTGTTTCTTCTTTAAATGTTTATTGCCTGAGTTTTTAGCCAGGTTACAAAATGATAGACTACTGTAGCAAAAA